TACATCTGGCTCAGTGAACATGGCGGCACCGGAGGGGACGAGTGTTGAGACTCTTACTGTAACACTGAACACACTGAGTGTACACGAGGAGGCAATGAAGGTCATGGCTGATGTTAAATGCCATTTACGGTGAGCTTTAACTTATGAATATACAGGACTTGTTGCATAATTAGATTTTCTGAAAAAAAAACAGAATAATTAGAGTGTTCTTGTTGGGTAATACTTAACGGATATAAAGTCACGAGGTCCGTTATTGACATTAAGCGAGACGGGGAACTTTTGAAGTATCAGGTTCTGCTATTTTAGGTAATCTCGTGAAAATGTCAACCTTAGAGCCAAAACTGAAAATCCACACAAACTAATGGAGGAGGCAGGGTAATAATTGATGACGGTAATTATTTAGGATTAACCCGCCAGCGAATTTGATTGAAAACAATTTCGAAAACGCCGGATTTTCATTGTTATATTATAGTGGCCACTGTTGTAGTTTGTGGAAATATGTTAAAAAAAAATTATTTTTTAAATAAGCGCTACTTAACATTTGTGGGTATGAAGAACACCTAACCCAACAAACCTACCTAACCTTACCTAACTTCCTTATGGGGGAAGGGGGCTCTACCCCCCGCTATATTAAACAGAAAGAACTTACTATGATATGGTGAAATTTGAGGCATTTTCTAGACGCGAGATGATACAGCCGCATCGGGGCTATGCAGCCTTGGCTGGTTAGGCCTATATATTAACCTTGATGACTAAACTGCGGCCCAAATTTAAAGAAAACGATTTTGAAAAGCTGCAATTTCACTGTGGTAATCATTGATTGTCCCGCGGGCGACTTCACAAAAAAATGATTTTATAAACGCTGCAATTTCACTATTTAATATAGTGGACACTTTTAGTTTGTGAAAAGGTATTAAAAAGTTATTTCTAAATTATACCTAACCTAACCTTAGTGGGTATGAAAAACACCTCACCAACCTAACCAAATAAACCTACCTAACCTTACCTAACCCCGGGACCCCTCGGTATATTAAATAGAAAGAACTTACTATAATATGGTGTAATTTAAGGTTGTTTCTGGATGTGAGAGCAGCCGGCTGCATCGGCGCTTATGCAGCTTGGGCGGCGGATTTATTTGGGTAAATTTGCATAAGCACACCACACTCTGTTAGAAAGTCAAAAATATATTTTTCTAGTGTATTTGTGTGTGTTTAGACCGAATATGACCTTCATTTCCGGCGGAAATTGGCCGGGTTTTTTTATCGATTTTTTTCTTGGGACGTTTTCCGAAAAAAAAAATGGCTAAGCGAATAAAAAATACACCAAAAAACACTAGAAAAAGCAAAAACCTAACCTAACCGACTCTCACCATATGATGGAATCACCTATTTCTTACCTTATTGCTGTCTCTTCTTTGTCTTTGGGATAAGGGACGAGTTAGGACAACGCCACATATGTTGGTTTTGACGATATTTACATTGTCTTGCACTTATGACACTTTACTGAGGTTGGGAGAACACCATGCGATCGAAAAAATGCTCCAGTTTTTTTAGTTTTTTTCCCAAAACTCACAATCAGCTCCATATAATTTAAGTGACACCCATCACACACTTCCATGGTCGGAAATGAATATGAATTTTGAAATATGAGAGACCCAAAATAAAAATCGATTTTGATTGGGTCAAAATTACAGCGAATTAAACCAAAAATCATTTTAATTGGTTGCCAAAAAAACGCTTTTGATTGGCCGCGTAACGTGTACGGGAAAGCATGCGCGTGATGATTTATGAAGGAGACATCAGTGTGGGAGGTGAGGTAGGCGATAATGGCGGAAGAATAATGGAAGAAAATAGAGAACATTTTGGATATGCTGTCTCCATTATTATACATTTGCGCCGGTAATGTAATAGATGAAAATTATCTTATAATTAGACGACTTATTCGAATGATAATAGATTAGTGGTAGGAATATGTGATGTTAAAACGCAATAATACCGTTATTTGTTATTGTGATGGTAGGAAACGGCGAGCCACAGTGTTGGGGAAGTGATGAAGGATTGTGCTGTGGTCTTGGTGAATGTGGCAGAACAGGTAGCGAACGAAGTAGTGCTTGTCGTGGTAATCCCTGTTGCCAGCCCTCAGAACCCAGGGTTTTATACTCTTCCACTGCAGTATCAGGGTCAACAAAGTTTTCGCTGTTGTTAACGGTTTGGTTTGTTATAACCTAAGGACCCCAAGTTCGAGTAGGCTTTCCAGCAATCACTGTAGATAGTGGTGGTCTGGCGTGATAAATTTCTGGCAATGAGAAACTAGGGTGTCGGCGTCACTTTTTCTCAACCGGCACAACGAACATGCAGCCCGATCCACACTCAATGCTGCCAAAAACCTAGATACCCTTCACTAAGCGGTCATGTTGGAACTTCCTCTTACCAAACTTACTTTCGTCAATTTCTACAATTGCATTTGGGCCACCAATAGGTTCCTGGTTTTCCATCCAGTTCATACAGACCTCACTGCAATAATGTTTCCTGTCAACAACGGACTTGGCCCACAAACCCAGTTCTGTTTCACAATATTGCTGTGAAAAATACTTTCTGAAATTTGTACAAGTCCCTGGATGACCAAAACTAAAATAATACCCTTATTAGAATGTTACCTAACCTACCTATCTTCCTAACCTGTGAATTGTCATTTTGATTTTTTGGTTATTATCCAAACAACATCTTTAGGAAAATGAGCGAATTCAATGCAATATAAATTGTAATAAACACTCCCGATGAGATCGTTGTTCATTTCTTGACTTGTCTGAAAAGAATAAGTTGCTAATACAGTCACAAAAACACCTATACAGTATAATCAAAATGTCACATCACATAACATAAGAAACAATTCTACCTAAAATAGAACATTTACCATTATCATTTGCCAAAATATCTGTGGGTCGCAGCTTTTTCTTAAAATACTGTACTGTACAGTGGTCCCTCGGTTAACGAGATTTCGGTTAACGAGTTACCTTCCATAAAATTCTTAACTTCGGTTAACGAGCAATCCCTCGATTAACGAGTTTCTTACGAGCTGACCTCCACATGTTTTAGCTTGCATTTGGCGGTCCAACAGCTGTAGTATTAGTCCGCCAATACAGTAATCGGTTCTAGGGCTTAAATTCCTTACCCTTTTAGTAAATATCAAGAAGTTTATACTATTCAATAATTTTAATGGTTTAATATTAAGTTTTTTAGTAATTTTAACAATTATGAACATAATTGAAGGTAAAGAAACTAGTTTGTGGCACGCCATTCAGCCTGCCAACACAGCATATAGGCGTCAGTCTTTTTGTCTTTTCAGTGGAGGTAACATCTTGCTTGAGACTCTCTTCAGCTAAACGCTTTTTTTTCTGTGTTTACAAGCAAATTATTGGTCATTTTGAAGTTTATTTTACATATTGACAATATGTAATGCAGTGCCGTGTTGATTTAAAGAAAATAATCTTGAATTACACCAAGAGAACTAAAATTTTATGGGTGAAATGGCGCCATGGGGTGACTTCTCTTCCACCCCAATGCCTTCTCTTCTCCGTTCTCCTCCACCCCCATTCTAATCCCCATCATCATCCAGGAGCCTTCTACATACACACCTGAAAGTAAGTGAACCTTTCTACCTTTTTTGTTGAATTTAGGCAATTTTCGGTGAGCTGGAACCAATTACCCAAAAACCCATTGAAACAATGGTTTCGGTTAATGAGTTTTTCGGTTAACAAGCAACCTTCTAGAACGGATTGTGTTCGTTAACCGAGGGACCACTGTAGTACTGTACAGAATGACAAGGAGCCTGTTGGGTTGTAAACATTGCTAGTATGTTTTAGTGACATGCGATTGAAATGTGAGTACATACTGTAGTTCCAAAATAACTAACCTCGCTTTTTTTTAATTTTTCCCAATACAAAGCTTATTATTTGGAGAAAGTCTAGCTCATTGTATGGTAAAGGTGGAGCAGATGATTAGCACCCGAACGCTTTTATATATTTCTTCTATATTTTCCAGATGTTCTTTGGGTGATAAATTATTTGTTAGTAAGTAGGGCCTGAAAGAAGATGGGAATAATGGGGCAGAAAATGCGAACACTTAATATGGCAGTGATTTCATGTCTCTATGTGGTTTTTAGGCAAAGAAAATTTTTTTTACCCTGATTATGGCTAAATACATGTTCGTATTGTAGGATTGGGCGTCTCATCCAATAGTCTTTGGCTGATATTGGAGTTGCCCAAGCCAGATATGGTTGTAATGGAATTTCAGCATCAGTCCTTCATTATTCAGTTAAAATATGAATTTTTTAAGCTATTGAGAATTTCAGTTGGGAAGAAAAGCCTGTTTATATATATTTTTAACTTGCAGAGAACTGGAGACTCAAGTAGCAGGTCTTAATCCACCCTCAAACCCTGTAAATCTGGGTAACACAGGGCTCTTGTCCTTGGACCCCTCACCAGATAAACTACCACTCTACTACCAGCTTCTGGACTGTTATACTTGGATGGAGAAGGTGAGAAATAAGTACTTAACTTAATTTTGTAGCACCTCTTAGCTAAGACCATTTATTTCTTGGAACCCCCTTTGTTGGAGTGGAGAAAATCTGATTGAATGTTTCAAGCATTATAGACCCCTATTGTGACCAAAGAATAATAATTACTGTAAACCCTTGCCATTCGCGATGGATAGGTTCCAAGAAATGGCGCGAATAGGTAAAACCGCAAATAGCCATTTCTGTAATACCTTAGTGCACTAATATACAGGTATACCTATACTGTGTATGAGAAACTTAAGTCACAATAATGTACTTACATTTGTATGTGGAAGTCTGGAGCTTGATGAAGTGGTGTACTGTATATAGGGAGACATCTGGTTAATGAAGCATAGGTGGATCATCAAGATCACTGGTGGAAGAGGGTGAATCAGTGGTGGTTGGTGGAGTGGTGTGCGACCGGGAGGTGGTGCGTGGCTGAGGGGAAGAGGAGGGTGGTGAGGTGGTGCGTGGCTGGGGAGAAGAGGAGGGTGGAGCGGCAGCGGTAGCACTAGCTGGTTCTTTCTTAAAAAAAAAATGTTGATTGGCAGTTGTTTCCTCTTGGCTTTCAGTTCTTGAAACATTTCCCGATAGGAAAACAATACTTGATTGATTCCTCGGACCATCTAAAGGCTGCGTTCCATGGAAGGGTCGTGGTCAACAATGAAATCATTCACCATCTTTACCTGACGAAATAATTCACCAAAATTTCCATACTCCAACCTTCATGTTGTAATTCCATATCTTCTTGGCAATTTTTACCAACTCTTTCAAATCCTCTTCTGTAAGTTCCTCTCCATGCCCATCAATCGGCTCTTCCACATCTTCAGCAGCCATGTCCACAAACCCCTCACCACCCAACTGACATGCAACATTCACAATGTCATTCACATCCTTTACCATGGACGGAAATCCCTGAAAGTTATTCACACACTCAGGCCATAAGATGTGCCAACAAGCATTCACTGTCTCTGGTTTAAGCTCACTGAATGATTCACTGAAGTTGATAATGCAGTCTGTAATGTTGTACTCCTTCCAACACTTGCTAACATCAAGGTCAGGGTCTTCATCCATGGCACTACAGATACGACCAAAAGAGCAGTGTGTATAATATGCCTTGAAGGTGTGTATTACACCCTGATTGAGAGGTTGGATAAGAGCAATGGTGTTAGGGGGTAGGAACACCACCTCTACACCTGGATGGCTAAATTGCAAACTTTCTGGGTGGCCTGGTGCATTTTCTATCAATAATAACACCTTAAATTCCATCTTCTTGGAAGCAAGGTATTTTTCCACTTCAGGGATGAAACATTTATGGAACCAGCCCAGGAAAGCTTGCACAGTTACTCATGCCTTTTCGTTGGACTGCCAAAACACTGGCAAAAGCTTCTTGTTTTTCCCTTTAAAGCCTTAGGGTTTGCTGAGCGGTAAAGCAAGCCAGGCTTGATAATGCAGCCAGCTGCATTGCCACAGAAGATGAGCATCACTCTGTCCTTGGCTTCCTTGAACCCAGAGGCACATCTTTCCTGCTTGTTTATATATGTTCTACAGTACCAGGTAGTTTCTTCTAATATAAACCAGATTCATCAGCATTTAACACTTGCTCTGGTCTATAGCCTTTCTTCAGCTTGGCGGGAAATGCACCTGCGGCTGTGTGGTCAGCTGATGCGGCCTCCCCAGTCAGCTTAACATTATGGAGCGAGAATCTTTTCTTAAAATTCTCGAACCAACTTTTACTGGCACTAAAAGTTGGTTCAGTCACTGCACTAGCCCCTTCACCACCTGTTGACTCATAAAAATGAGCATAAAGACTTTTAGCCTCTTCACAAATCACATTGCCGTCTATCGGAACATTTTTGCTGTGCTAGTCCTCGATCCAAATGTTCAGTGCTTTCTCGGTTTTTACAATGTTCTTGTCACAAACAACCTGCGCCACTTTAGCACTTGCAGGAGCACTCGCTTGAACAGAATCACGAATTGCTTTTTCATTCTTTCTTATGTACCGCACTGTGGATTCGTTCACACCAAACAACCGGCCAACCGCGGCAGCACTCACCCCCTCTTTTAACTTGTCTAATAATTCAATTTTCTTTGCCAGGGGTCATCACTGACTTTTGCCTTTTCTGTTTCACTCCACTAGCAGCACTGGCACTAGGTAGTCTTTTCGGGGCCATTTTCGCAAAGAAACACGAAAGTTTTGAGAGTGTGACACGGGATGCTAGGTCACGGGTACTGGGTGAGGGCAAACAGAGTGGATGAGACGCCGCGGGCACATAGGGTGACTCGTTGCACTGCTAGCCATCATCTGTTTACTGCAAATTGGCAACCCGCAAATAACAAGGAAATCCCTGTGACTGCAAATAACTGTACTGTATATAATTTTAAACTGATGAGGTGATATTGAATTGGTGAGGGTTCATTGTATAGGTAATCCTCTTTTATCCCAAAATCACATACTGGTATCTCTCGTTATACAGATGGGTTAGGTTCCTTAAGGGACCATTATTTGTTAAAAAGTGAATAGCTTTTGTAAACAGGTTGAAAATTCCAAATCTGAAATCCTTGGGGCTGAATGTGTCTCGGATTCTGGATTTTTTCAGATTTTGGGATACCTGTACACTGTATACCTGTATAATGGGGTACAGGTACCTCACCCAGAGGGGCCTGTGCCCAAGTCTAAACACAAAATTCATGGATATCTCATTTACCGAATATGGATACATATAGCCTGCAGGTAGTTTAATGCGATATTTTTAATAATTTTGTGCATGAAACAAAAAGAAAAAGATGCACATTAAACCATCAGAAAGGTAAGGTACCACTACTGTAAGCCTACCTGTAACTGACCCTGAAATTTACCAAAGTGCAGTCTGTGTCTTACCTTCATTCATTAATGCTCTAGGGATGAGGATGCACTCTGAGAAAGAAATACTTTATAAGAACAGAATATTCGTATAAGCAAATGTCCATATAGCAAGGGATACCTGTATTGCAATTTTGTGTTGTCACATATCTGATTTGTATGTACGAAATATCCAAGTGTGTGTGGTTTTTTTTTTTTAATGCTATTGCAAGGAAAATTTTTAATCATGCACTCAAACTACTTCCAACAGAGCACCCTTTCCCAAGCAGCTAACGAGCCGATCTGTGGTGAAAAGGATAAAAGTAACAGTCAACAAGAATCTTTTAAATTTGCAGAGATGCATCAGTTCATGCTCAGCTTTCAGAGGGTGAAGAAACATAATCCACAATCCTCTCATATAATTATTTATTACTACAACTTAAATCTTTTATACATTCTTAACTTTATTAAGTGTGTTTTTTTATGCCCATAATACTAGTGGTAAACTTGGGTGTAAATGGTGGTGGTTGTTGGTTGGTAAGTTGAGAAATGTCCATGAGAGGTAGAATATCCACTGAATAATATACAACTACAAAAAAAAATGAAGAGTAGGAAGTGAATTGGTTCTTGAACATTCGCCACCCCCCTGACCTCATTAATACAACAGTATGCAATTTCACCATAATTCCCATCTTATTTTGGTTCATTTGGTACTAGGATAATAAAACATTATGGTAAAATAATAAATTAAAAAAAATTCCACTTGACTCCAGATGAGCTACAGTATATAGTATGGTATTAAATTCCTGGGTCTTTGTTGACACAGTGCAGTCACAGCCAGCCCGGTGCCTCCCTGTCTTGATGTTCATGTACAGGTATCCTTCATTTTGCATTTATTCACTCCACTTAAATTCGGTTTAGCGCTAAAAAATTTGACACCCATTCTCACTTAACGTTAAGTCAAAATTTGGTTTAGCAATAGTTTGACTCACTGAGAAGGGGAAAACTGGGGAATAGATGGCATGTTGCCATTGTTACATGTAATAAAACTATAAAAGTTGTGGAAAAATCATTACAATAATAAAACTATAAAATATGATAAATGAAGAGTATGGGTATGTGTGTGAAGTGAATGTGTGTGTGGGGACAGTGAACTATAACTTCATTGCCAACTCTCCACTCAGCTGCATTCTTCCTTCCCTGATGGGAAGTCATAACATACACAGCATGGCAGCAGTCACACGTCTCAGAATCAGCAGGGTGACTGCCTGGTTGAACTGTGTCATGTCGGCCAGAGGATGGGTTGACTGTACATAAAATGTGCGTTATTGTATTTTGCAATATGCTTTTATAAGCTTTAATGTTTATCATAGCAATTTTTGTTAACTTTTGATGTATGCCCAGCCAGGAATGCATACCATTGTTTCTAATGGGAATGTGAGTTTTGCATACAGTACAGTATTGCAATTTCACACATCTTAAGAGTTTTCAAGAACAGAAGCCTTGTGATAAATGAGGATTACTTGCAGTACTGTATTTGTATATTTAATTGTTTGTTTATTCTTTCATTCAATTGTTTGATGTATCGTATATACCCAACAGGTACATTGTTACTCCACCATAATGCACTCACTCTTTTCTGGAAACAATCTCAAGAGATCATCGATATCATTACCATATTCTGCTAAGAGGAGACGACCTGCTTCATTAAACCACAATGTACCTCAACAGTAAGTCTTTAATTTTCTCTCTTTGTGAGATTTTTTTTGTCTTTGCAATTTGGTCCTTCAGAAATTACTTAAAAGGTTAATGACAGTAATGCAAGAGCTGTTATACACTGGTCCCTTACTTATCATAGGGATACATCCCTGAAAATTGGCATGCAAAGCATAATTGTGCAAAACCAGGCCAATTTTACTGATATTGTAAGTATTGGTGAGGTTTTGCATAGAGGTAGGCTGAGATGGTTCTAGTATGTGGAGTGAATGATGGAGACCAGTTGGTTCAAGAAATGGTTGGGTTTGAATGTGGATGGATGAAGAGCTAGGAATAAGCTTTGGTCCGAGACTGAGGGTTAATTTTCCAGTCACTGAAGGCAGTACAGTAGTCCCTCACCAACTGTAGGGGTTAGGTTCCTGAAAAACCCCATGGCTGCGGATAACACTCGTCAAGGCCTAAGTTGCCTGTTCCTTCACTAAACAAGACCTGTGTTGTACATTTAATTAAATTTGAGTACTGTACTTATAAAATCATTTAATCTAAATTAAATACTGTAGTAATATAAATTTTACAATACATCTCCTTGGAGATGGCACATTGCTATAAAATAAGAAAAATGAAGAGCATGGGTGTGTATGTGTATGAAGTGAACATGTGTGTGTGGACTTGGCAGATTGTCAAGTTAGACTGTCCCTGTAGCTACCACCCCCTACCAGCCTAAGCTGTGTTATTGTTATTTTTCAACTCGTATTTTCATGTAGACATACGTAATTTTATTCATTTTTTAACACTGTTACAGGAACACTCAATCATTCATACAGACTGTGTAAAAAAAAAAAGTGGTTATCATAAGGTTATAAACATAAAGAAAATAAACATTTCTTATGTCCACAGGAGTTAAGTGTTGAATCATGGGATGGGTGTAGTGTTATAGGGATCTCTGCCTCTCCATACCAGGCTAAGCTGTGAGCCGCATTATTGTTCTTTTTCAACTTGTAGTTTATTAAAAAAAAATTGTTTATTTTTTATTTTTTTACTGTTACATGTACACAATCGTTCATTCAGAATGTGAAAAAAATTAATGAAGGAAATGATTATTACTGTATAAGGTCAAAAACATAAAGAGGTAAACCATTTCTTACATCCGTAGGAGTTAGCTGACTATCGTGGGAGGAAGAGGGGGAAGCGCTCTCTTGTGCCCTTAGAGAAATGGTTGCCAAATGACAATGCAGTATTTTTCATTTATTAGTCCAGGTATTTTTTCATTCCTCACATTTATGGAAGATTACATTAGATCGCAGAGGGATAAAGATGCCACACTAATCCACGGATACTCGACATTCAATGCCGTGGTTGGTGAAATGGTATACCGGTACAGAGTAAAAACCGAGGATACCCGGCATCGACGGATGAGAAATCTGAGGTTGGCGAGGGTCTAATGTACAGTATATAGTACCTCGAATTCTTGGTCATTTTCTTCTGAGCTGGCCAAGGGTCTTGCTTCAGGTCTTTGTGATGACAGCTTTGAGGGTACCATTCATCATTTGGACTAAATTTGTTGGTTATAGGATTGATTTTAATTTATTTTATTTTATTTTTTTAACCCTTTCACAAATCGGGGTTTGCTTGTACAGTACTGTACTTGGAAAACTTATTTTTTTTATTTATTTTAGCTCTTTTTGCCATTTTCATACATTAAGGAGAAAATATAAATCAGTAACCAGTATTTTAAGAAATTTTTATCACAATTTATCACCTGTATTGCTCAGATTGGCTGTTCTTATTGGATTTCTGCATTTTTTATGGTGATTTGTCTTTCGAGTGAAGGGCTTTACTGAACAAGTAATGCATTATACACTACAGTGATGTGTGGAACTCTGGGCAGTACAGTAACAATGACGGATCATCTTTGATTTGAGAGGAATATTTCCTTGTCAACTGACTGCTTTGGAATCTTCCCAGTAGATTATGAAACAGGATTGAAGCTTGAAATTACATTTTCTGGCTGTGAAGGAGTAAAGTGATCTGGAATTCCTCTCTCTGTACCCTGGTTGTTTCTCCCATTGGCAGGAAAAATTCAAGTTTTATTGTATGATTCCTAAGTCTGTGTTAATTAGGGTACAATTCAAGCAAAGGAATTTAAGATTTATAATAGTGTTCTTGTTGACCTCCAGCTTTGAAAGCAACTACCAGGATGGAGCAGGAGTTCACTTCAGAACCCTTGTCTGAATGATCAAGTGACTGCGAAGAGCATTTTCACTGATCTGATTTGTTCTATATCCCCACTTGAGAATGCAAATGGCTCTTTGGTTAAGGCAGTCTGTACTAGGGGTTGTTTTGGACTCTTTCCCTTGTCCATAAAATAGGGTTTCCTGTGAGATACTTTTTTCTAATCTAATTAGTATGAAGCAATTTAAGCTGGCACTTGTTGTGTGGTATTTAATTGCCTACAAGTGTGAGAATAAAGATCACTGATTATATTTCATATAAAGCAAACACTTAATTTTATGCTTTGATATTGCAGGCAAGTTGACATGCTGATTCAAGGAGTTAATCAGATGTTTCAAGACATGACTCTAAACATATCCCGACCCTTTGGTAACAATGCTGTAGTCCAGGTATGTTAATCCTTTCCATTCATGTAATTACTTATGTATAATTTAGGAGGCCAAAGTATTGTATTATCACATGTATCATAGTCTTTGCAGGAATCATCTATTGTAATTACCATGTATTTTTTACTGGATCATTTTCTGCCTTGTGGGTCTTGTGCAAGTGATATACCTAAAACATCATCTTGCTGTAGGATACTACTGTACAGATGGCGTTACGTTCCTGAAAACCCCATCGCAGTTCAAAATATCGTAAATCAAGATTATTAAAACATGGGGTTCAATGGGATATGTTACCAGCCAGTCCGACACCCACACGTATCACCGAAAATAAAATTCCTACAATAATGATATTCATAAAACACAATTAAACAACACTTGTCCCCATCGAGGCTAAGGGGACTCTTGAATGGTGGAGTGGACACATCACTCTGACTCCCATACAACTTTACAGTGTCAAGCTTTACCTCCAGAGGCATGGTTTTCCTGGATGTCTTGGCCGTCTCAGACATTTTCAAAGTTACACTGCTCACTTCAGTCACAAAAACAGCGAACGATGATAACTTAGTACAATGATAGTGGCTGACACTGCTTGCATTATGTTCAGAACAACAGAGGCAAAGCACTTTACTTTCACAAAAAATAGCAAAAAATCACTTCACAGTCACCAAAACAGAGTACAATGTAAATGTTTATGATGTCCTCTCACTGTAAGTAAAAAAAAAAATACCGATGGCAAGTAACAATACCAATACTGACCGATAATCATTGAGCTACACGATAACCCATACGAAATTTGTAAATTATGACCACTAATTTTGGGATACAGCCCTTTAATTTGATCTTACGGAAATGGGATAAATGTTCAACATTTTCACCGCAAAAATTGCAATATAGAACAACAACAAAATTCACAGGCATAATCTGTATGGTGTGGGTTTCTTGGTGTTTGCTACCACCAAGTGTGAGTACATAGCCCACCCATGCCACTGAACTTGGTTTGTTTATATCTCCCAGCATGTACGCTTGATCTCATGACCCCATCCTCGGATTTAAGACTGTCCAGTTTATTACCTTTATTCAAGAGGAGTGGAAAGAGGCCATTAAGTGCAAGTGAAAGCAGTAGCGCTAAAAGAGCCCATAAAGGAATCATGTTGGAGATAAAACTTGAAGTTTTATGGAGGCTATGCAGGAAAAAACTTACCCAGATTGCAAAAGCATTAGAGCTTGTTACGTCTCCCACTAATAACTTTTGCACCATCGCACCTCACACAGCACTCATCGTTTGTGGTGAGTTACATTCAAATGTTTTGTATATTTATTATTTTAAAAAAATACTCCATGTACAGTGTGTTTAAAAACGTTTCTTTTCATATATAAGAGTGCTTTTATTACTTCTTTTTGCCCAAAAGTTTCTTTGGGAACACATCTCCAATTATATAATGGAAGTCAATGGGAAAGCGGAGTTCACTTTACGGTCAACTTTTCAAGGGTGCATCCCTTCTGTAAGTCGGGGGATTACTGTATCATAATATTTTGAAATTCTGTATGTCGGGGGATTACTGTATCATAATATTTTGAAATTTTACCTAATATTGTAATGGTCATGATAAGAGCTAACCGAAAAACCTTAAGGATTCATATTACGCTCAAACGTCCACAAAACCTTCTGAGTCCCCCAGTGGAAACGTCCCCCGTTTTCTCTGTTTCCCCCGTCTTTGTCTATGGGAGCTTGGAATATAATCCGCGGATTTAGTAGCAGACGCTGTATGCTGGGACCTGTTGCCATCCAACCCTTTGTAATCAATTTAATTTTGCTTTTGATAGCTGAGTCAGAGTAGAGTATTGCGCAGTTAGCTCAAGGGATAGATGGTATGTAGCTACCGACCGCATGGACCAGCAAGTTGAAGACATGGTCCAAGTAGAACTCGGTACCGATGAGGAAGATTGGGATAAACTTAAAGCAACCTTGCGGAAATTGTTTGTGAAACCAATCCCGCTGGAAGTTGCCCTAGTATTTATGGTGCTAAATGACTATAATAGTTGTGTTCTTGAGTATGTCCACCCAGTAGGGTTGGAAGTGTTATTGAATATGTCCACCCAGTAATGGTGTGAGTATGTTGAGCCTGAGGGCCTAGTACTAGATTTCGTCTGTTAGTACAAACCCATTCTTTCTTCTAATTTCATATTCATGTTTAAATAAACTTTGTATTTGTATAATTGTGTCGATTATTTACCTACAGTATTTACCGTTATTTCTTCCCTATTGCTTGTTACTATCATTACACCTACCCACGAGCCTCCTATCGTCACGCTACCAATGGTGATAAGTATAAGAGTAAAAGGAATTGTTACTGGCACACAGAGGCCCTCATAAATGGTGGCAGTTCAAGCCCTCATAATATAATATGACATTTTTAATACAGGTTGTACCTCTCTAGTCCGGCAACCTCGGGACCTGACCGGTGCCGGACCATGGAAATTCACCCTTTTCCTGGATAGATAGTGACTTGTGCTTATGCCTGGAAGCACTAGCACCACTTTCTCTGCGTCATGGTCTCTTTGAAGACATATTGAAGGGTTAAATGTCGTATAGTAGCTTCTCAAATTTCGCGAGTTTTTTAATTCTTACCGTATTTTATTGGAACACACAAAAAATAAATAAATAAAAATTTTGACGGCGGAAACTTGAATTTCGACGGGTTTGAATGGCCCGCCAACGTGCAGACGACGTGCATAATCGTGTAAACAGCGTCATTTCTCTTATGTACAAAGATTCATTATTGTTTATTACTGAATGTCTTTTTTATTGAATTAATGTTTGTGTGCAAAATGAGCAATACAATTCATTAATAATACGTAGAAAATTAAAACACATGAGGAAATGACACAGCATTGTTTTCGTTGATTACAAAACCAGTGACTGACTGGTTCTACATATAAAACTGAAGAAATTAAGACCTTGGTTGTAGCTGTAGTAAAATTAATATGGTTGTTTAAAGTAATGTTATTTAATGTTAATAAATGGAACAATAGAAGTAGCTAACGATAATGGTAAAGAAAAAGAGAGATCGCATATGTAAGTGCGCATGCGCACACGTGAAAACATATCGTCATTACTTTACATAAGAATATGAAAGCAACACTTATTTACTGTTCATATATATTTTAATTAATGTTTCTGAATTTGTTTTTATTGAATTAATGTACGTGTGTGCAAAATTAACAATACAATTTATTAATAATACGTGGAATATTAGAGGAGACGAGACCGCTGCCGGCATTGTTTATGTTAAAGCTTACGAAACCAGTGACTGATTGGTTCTACATATAAAACTGAAGAAAATAAGACCCTGAGTTTAGCTGTAGTAAAATTAATGTAAAAAATGAATATGGTTGCTTGAAGTACCTGTAATGTTATTTAATGTTAATAAATGGAACAATATAAGTAGCTAACCATTAATGGTAAAAAAAAAGTGAGTGCTCGTATGTAAGTGCGCACATGTGAAAATATATCGTCATTACTCTACATAAGAATATGAAAGCAACACTTATTTACTGCTCATATATATTGAAGGGTTAAATGTTGTACTCTGTATAGACAAGCAGAGAGAGAGAGAGAGCAGCCGAACTGCTGGATGTAAACAAACCTTAATTTCCCGCGGCTTTTTTTTTTTAAGGGGATTAGCCCACCTGGGCATAGATCACTGACCCACATTGGGGCCTGAAGGGCAAAAATTTAATACTCCTGTAATAATAATAATAATTCAGATAAGGGAAAAAAAAAAAGAAAAAAAAAAAGCTGCCTATCTACCTATTGGACAAACTAAAATCGTTCCGGACCATAGAATGCCGGATTAGAGAGGTACAACCTGTATATATTTTGCAACAGAAAAAGATTGCGAATTATGGGTTTTTTACTGTACGGTGGGCCACCTTGACCAGACAGCCCATTTGGGGCAGTGTAGAAACAACTATTTTATTCTAATGAAATTATTTATAGCATCATATTTCAGTACCTGTACCTGCCATTACATGATGAAATCAAATTTTTATTGCAGGTGACTCTGGGTCGTGTGCTGAGGGCTGTGGTAACTTTCAAAGGAATATTGATTGAATGGGTTGTTGTGAGAGCATATAATGAACCATTACTTGATGAGGATGGAAAGGTGGGTTTGTCAAAATAAGTTGTTTTAAGTTTTTCTGACTTTTGAGATTTCATAGGAAAACTTAACTCATAAGACAGAATTACTCAAATAGTGAATTTATTATAGGTATTATTGGTATTACAGTATTGTATACAGTTTAAGTGATGTAAATTGTGCTGTTTTCTGTCCTGCCATCTGTGGCTGCATTTCTCTCACAACCTATCTTTGTATACAGTATACATACTGTGTTACGCCAAGTGTATACCTTGTATAAAAGTGCGATAAATCAGAACAGTTCATCCGAATATGCCACTAGTTGATGCTGAGTTAACCATCTTATCAATAAATTATATCTAAAAAAAAAAAAGCTGAAAATATTTTTTGTAAACCCCCAGTAATCAAAGGATGAATTGTACTGCACCTAGTTTATGAGAGGTTCATTAGAGGTAATGTATACAGTACTGTATATACAATACAGAAGTTTGTTGGAGTATCAGGATGTAATGCAGATGCAAAACATTTCACTCAAAATACTTGAAACTTTTATTATGACCAGATTTTGTTTTCCCCAGGTTGACTTGTACACACCATCCCAATACAAAGTGTTTCAGAAAGTGACCGACAATGCAAATGCTGCGATGTTGAACTTCTGTTCACCAGGATTTTCTGACTTGTCTATCCGCTCCTTCTTTGTAAGTACAGTACAGTACTTATTTGTGTAATGAATGGAAGCTCAGTGATTCTTGTTTTTAAAGTTTTTCATCAGTTCAGAGTGAGCTGACTCAGCATTACCATTACCACCTCCAACTCTGTTCAACGCAAAGGACTTCCACGTCCCAGTTGTCCTCCATCTCTCTCATCATGCTTTAAATCCATGTGGGTCTCGCTGTTCCTCTTCTTTTGGCTCCTACAGGTGTCCACCTCATAGCTTCCCTTATTATTTTCTCTAGTTGAACACGAAGAATGTGCCCCATCTACAGGTACAGTGGTCTCTCATCATCCACTCTTAAACGTATACCTGTAGTACATTTGCAATTTCCCGTATGGTTTCCTTTCTGACAAGATCCTGCCATCTTATTCACAGTATTCTCCCGAGTGTTTTACTTTTAAAATTCCAAAACTGACTATATAGTTTCATTGTTGTACTGTGTTTCTCTTCCATAAACCAAAACAGACCTCACCAATGATATGAACATTTTCATTTTGGTGTGGTTTGTCAATATTTGTGAGTTATAAGTACAGTCTCTCCTTGACTTACGGCATATTCAACTTATGACAACCCGGACATACGACGTCCCTGTCTCCTTCTCTGCTTCATCCAATTAATGTAGTCTCCATGCTTAATTAAAAAATTATTGAGGCCCCGTGTGCTTTCACCTGACTACATTAAAGGTAAGTGCCCAGTAACACTTTATTCATTTTTCATTATTGATTACTTTTACTGTACTGTATTTCATTTTAGAATTTCTGTATTATTTTCCCCTTTTCGACTTACGACCTGGTCGTCTGGACGGAACCCGTCGTAAGTCGAGGAGAGACTGTACAGTATTAGCCAACATACACATAACTTGGTTTGCTGTCTTCAGTCTCAAGCGATCAATTATTATTGAAAATAGGACCCAGGTACAGGAATATCCTGGTTGTTGCAAAGGATGCATTTCTAAAAGTCATTATGAATATTGAGACAATTTTCCCCATAAGAATCGGTGTAATAGAGGGGGGATGCGTTCCCAGCCGGCAGCTTTCACAACATATTTTTTTATATACAGTACTGTACATTCCTCATTATCTGTGGCAATTAGGGACCAGGGTTGCGTGTATATTGTAGTACCAGTAAATATGAGGAATAAATAAAAATTATACTGATAAATAAAATTTTTTAAATATACCTCCTTATCAGTCGGTAATACACTACACACAGGACACGGGAAACTGAAGCGCCTTAGATCCCCAAAGCTACTCCCTCCTCCTCCTCCTCCTCGCGTGATTTGCGCGCTAATTCCCGTGGACGTAAGGAATGTTTATTCCCTTATGTTTTTAACCTTATGATAATCATTTCTTTTATTTTTTTCCGCATTGTGTGTATGTAACAGAGTAAAAGAAAAAAATGTATATCTACCTGAAATTATGTTGAAAAATAAAAAAATATACAGCTCACAACTTGGTCTGGTAGGGGGAGGCTGAGATCCCCAATACCACACCCCCTTTTTCTTCTCATGATTTGCACACTAACCTCCCGTGGACGTAAGATATTTTTATTCTCTATGTTTTTGACCTTATGATGATCATTTATTTATTTATTTAATTATTTTTTCATGTTCTGTATGAAGAATTGTGTATGCATGTAAGAGTAAAATAAATGAATAAAATTTAATATTTGAGTTTAATTTTTTATTTTTTTTTTTGAGAATCGGTTATTTTGCAAAATGACCGGCATACATATTGGTACTTTGTAAAATAACTTACAAACAGATAACCTAAACTAACCAAACCTTATGGTGGAATAAGGTTAGGTTAGGTTTGGATGGCTATTGTACCTTGATGCACAATTAAATGGTCCTGTTGTTTTTGTTTTCTTTTAACTTTGGACTGTGCGCTGTCCTAACCATAAGGTTAGGTTAGTTTAGGTAGTCTGTTTGTAAGTTATTTTACAAAATTACCAATATGCATGCTGGCCATTTTGCTAAGTAACTGATTCTGCAAAAAACTTAACAGAAATATCAATAATAGGTTTTTTAACACTTAATTTAGTAGAAGAGATGGCTGGGCACATGGGGATGGGGGGTTGGTTCCGAGGCAGAGGGCAGATTATTGGCCCTCACCTGTATCACTATCCACCACAGAGGCTTGCAGGGCCTCTTTGTCAAACCCCTCAAAGTCCATATCCTCACTATCACTGACTTGGGCCGGCTGTGGTGGGTGGCGGGTGAAGAACTCAGTAATGTTTTGTTGACTGGGCAACCTTGTGCGTACCCTGCCCGCGCCGCTTCCCGCGTAAATGATGGAATGACCCGTGTAAATAAAAATTGTCGGTCTGGCAAGGTGCCGCGTAAATGACCAAACGCGTAAACCAAATCCACTTAAATCGAGACTATACTGTATACCCAAAATTACGAATTGAAAAATATCTACTGTAATTGAGAGGTGATATTGTGTCCTATGTACAGTTTTGTATACGGTATAATGTACTGTATTGTAAATGTGTATACTGTACTGTACACAAAACTGGGCAAACCTTACAAGAGGTGTCTGACACTACAACATTAAAGTGTGTCACATTAGCCTGATGGCCAATATGGGGAAGTGCAAACAGTTTGGCTGGCACTGCACTTTGACTACTAAGTCTTTGGTACATTAGCAGACTGGTTGACTGGCACTGCACTTGATCGCATTCACTTTTCTGAACTTTAGGGATTGGTACCAACTACATTTGGGTGGATTGGGGTTGTCCTGGATGCAAATCTTCAATATGAGCAGGCAGGATTTAGGAGAGCAAAGGGCTGCAGTGATCAAATCTTTGTACTTAATCATGATACAGCAGAATGTGGAATACAGGTTGGACCCCGCTAATCTGGGACCCGATAGTCCGGCAGCTTCAATGGTTCGGGATGGTATCATAGCTCACTTCTAGTGGCTGTTGCCACTATTTTATCTTTAAATACTTATAATTTACCCCTAAATATGCCTCTTAAGAGACCAGCAAGCAGTGGAAGTTTTTGAAATGCAATAAAACGTAAGCATGTGACATTAACTATTTTAGAAAAGATTTCTATACTGAAGAAATTCGACAGTAATAGTACATTTAATGCATTATTTTGCCTTTTTTAACCTCGGCTTCGGTGGTTTGGAATTTTTGCAAATCTGGAACCAGTCTGGTCCCAAGCTTCCCGGATTAGCGAGGTCCAACCTGTACTGTATAGAAAACCAATCCCTGTTATTGTTTTCATCAATTTTGAGAAGACTCTAAACAGCATGCATCAATCAGCACTCTGGAGAACTCTATGAAATAATGGATTACCAGAGAAATGCAGTATGGCATATTAATAGGTGTAGTAGATGATGTATTAATGTTGATGGTCAACTCTCACCTGAATCTTGTGTGGAGAGTGGTATGCTGCAGGGAAATGTTTTGTCCCTTCTTCTGTTTGCTGTGCTCTTCAGTTTTGTTGTGAGATGAATGGTGATAAAAGAAAGGGGGAACAGATGGGTAGAAAACAAGTACTGTACCTCGCAGATTTGTACCACTGTACTGTATGGAGACAATGTGGTACAGTATTGTGAATGGGAGTTCACAAAACATATAGGTGATAGTGAACAGGCTATAGGAGAAGGGAAAAGGATTGGTCTGACTGTCTTGTACTGTACAGTAAATGACAAAACCATCTTCCCAGTTTGGGATGAAAGTATCAAGGATTACTCGAGCCTTCTGACACGCTCTATCCCTCTGGGAACTTTTGAACAGTTAGTGGGCCTGGAAAGGACTAATCCTGAGTTTCCAGATTATCCCTGTTGTCCATTTATCATGACTGAACTATATCATTTAAAAGCATACCCCACTTATTTGCAAAGCAATTTAGAAATAAATAATATCTGGAGATGGCATGTTGCTTTAAAATAAGAAAAATTAAATGCATGGGTGTGTATGTGTATGAAGTGAACAAATGTGTGGACTTGGCATGTTACCAAGTTAGACAGTCCTCTTACCAGGCCAAGCTGTGTTACTGTACTCCCAAATAATTGGGTACAATTGTATTATAGAATGTACAAAAAAAAATTCTCATACTGTATATTGAAGATTACCTTTTGTAATAAGTGCATTAAAATCAGTTCAGAAAGACTGAAGCGATTACCATATGTAAAAATTTATTCAATGATTGAATTTTTTCTCCTTGACAGACCTGGCTGCATAGTTTTGTTTCTCTCTTCACTGATGTGTGCAAGAGGTGTAGTAATCATCTTCATAACCACATGCCCCCAACATGGAGAGAATTTCGGACATTAGACCCCGTTCATGAAGAATGTAAAGCATGAGCAGAGCATTAATTTTTTTTTGTTAAACATTTGTCGTGAGATAGTGTGGAGGCAAGTGTATAATGATATGCTAAGAATATAAGAATGTAATATTCATTTTAATATCAAGTTTCTTTTGTATCATACTTGAATCATTCGCAAAATGGAGTTTTGTAACTATAGACTTTAGACAGTTTATGTAGATTTAATAGATTTGCATTCGTATGAATTTTATCACATTTCTGTTTAGATTGTAATACAAATATTATTCAAAGAAAAAATAAAGTTACCAATACCTATTAGCTTTTATTTGAAATTAGGGGAGAAGTTAAAACTAAGAAATACAGTAAATGTGTTTCATATACAGTAAGTCCACGTTTAACGTTGCAATTGACAATGTTGTTTCGTTATAACGTCGATACTCTTTAGATACCCCTGATTCGGAAAACGTCCCGCCAATTCAGTATAACGCCATGGACTACTTTGTATGGCGCATCACCCAGTCAGCGGGAGGAGGAACCACCCTCCGGCTCTCAGTGACTCGCCACCCTCCTCCTCTCCCACCCTCTTCCTCTCCACTCCCCACCACACACTTGCTTCATATACGCCAATCAGTGAGTACAATACAAAATGAAATAGTTTATTTACCTTTTTGGATGTATAATATAAACTATTTTCTATAAAAATTTCATTGACTTCATATATGCTTAATGTATTTTATGGGGTAAAGTGGTCCTCTCCCCCACCTAGTCAATCTCCGCAACCAGGACCTTCTTCCTCATCAGAATAAAGTGAGTATCCTAATTGGGATATGTAAATTAACATTTTACCTTCCGGTAAATGTTCCTAATATTGGAAAATATTCCAAATAGTTTATAATCATATTCTGGACCTAAGCTAGCGGAGCCTTATACACAAAGTCACCTCCCTCTCCACCTCCTGCTCGTGTATTCAAAGCTAGGCGTCGCATTCTGGATTGAACAAAATGCTGTTTTTTTTCTAAAAAAGTTTTTGTGATATAGTCCAGAATGTGACGTCGACAACCCACCCAACTCCACCCCTCGAGAGTTGACTTTTGTTTACTGCTCGCTCTAAGGCAAGAGATGACGGTGGCAGTGCATGTGATGGAGGGGGTTTTGAGAATTGCAATTAAATGCCAGGTAGCGACGTGTCCTAATATTACGTATTTAAGTAATTATTAGATGTTTTAATTGCCTGTATGTTGGCCTGGCGAGTTAATGCTAGGCATTTACTTACCTAGGTATAAAGCTAGACGTCGCATTATGGATTGAACAAAAATACTATTTTCTATAAAAATTTCATTGAATTTATATATGCGTAATGTATTTTGTGGGGTAAAGGGAGGCTGGGGAACATAACTCCCATATTTTATCTATTTCTTCTGGGGAAAATTGATTCCGTTAACGTCATGGTTTTCAGGAACGGAACCACCACTTTAAGCGAGGACTTACAGTACTGTACTGTGCATATATATTCAGCCTTCAACTCCTTCACTACATGGATGCCACTTAGAATATGTTATTTGGCTAGCACCAGATGATTTTATTCAGCACAGAGAGGAACCTTCACACAAGGGGTTGGTACATAGACTATCTCCACTAATCTCTTCATTATGGGAAGGCCACTTAAGATATTTAATTTTGCCAGAGCCAGACAATTTTATTCAGCTTAAGGGGTTAATTTTTTTGGTTTAACAGAATCTTATGAAATTACCAGCTAGTGTACCTTATGAATAAAGAAAATAGTGCACAATAATACAGATATAAAAGACAAATTAAGAGAGTAAGGGTATACTGTATGGTGTGAGATGGATGTATCTGAGAGCAGCTGGCAGTTTGTCAATGTATCATGACACTGTATACCTCACTGTGGACATGTATATCACACAAATGTTCCATCACCAATAAATGAAAGTTTAAACAACATTATTCAATTTTTATACTGTACAGTGGAAGGTTTGCTGTTACTGGTATATTACACTGACATTTGTGCACAAAAACTCTTGTAACTTGGTTGAGCAGGGGACATTCCAAAACCAACTTCAAGTACTTTGGTTGGATAAAGGTGAGACAGCATCCAGCATAGATTTGTTTTGAATCATTGGTATTGTAGACACCTATACTTTGTTTTGGAAACCTTTCCAGTGGTAGTGTATTCAAAATCAAATTTTGCACTGGTACTGACTATGCTCAATGAATATGGGGGCATGAAGATCTGTCAACACACAATTATGGAGGTTTCAAAACTCTGCTGGTGAATATTCCTTTGAAATAAATATATAATACTGTACTTCAATGAATATACAATTTAGTGATCTTTCAAGTGAATTACAACATGGTGAATACCAATACATTTTAGATAAATAGACATAACTAATGTATTCTATTTAGTAGGTACAGTACTGTAGTAGGCAGCTATCAAACAGGGAGGCACTACTGCCTGGGAAGATATTGGAAGCATAATGTGTTGTCTCATGGTAGACCCTGCTGCCATATGGCATCAAAAAAATTGTGACCAAGTCCCAGGTTACTGATCTGCCTTTCTTCCTCATTTACATACAATTGCAGGGTCTCAATTGTGTGTCTTAGTTTGACAATACAACATAAATACTGCATATCGTTTCTTGCTCCACCACACCAGCGTCCTCCAGGTACTCTTGCTACCCCAACAGCTCCCAAGGCATCTGTTCAACCCCCACCCGCCCTCTCACCAGACGTCACGTTTCAGCTTTTTCGTGAGTGGAGGCGGCGTTGGACAGATTACTCCACGATGGTGGACCTTGACAGCATGCCTCCAAAGAAACAGCTCATCCAACTGCGGATGTGTTTGTCGCTGGAGACCCAGAGAGTTTTGGAGCACACGCTGCAAGTGCCTCCCGACTCTACCTCTTCAGTGACGGATGTGCTCGACCTTTTACAGGAGCATGTTAAGGGTCGGAACAATGAGGCTTTGCGTCGCCGTGCCTTTACCAGCTGCAAGCAGGCGGAGAACGAATCCTTTGACGACTTTTTTGTACGTTTGAAGAGTTTGTCGGAGGAGATCGACGTCTGCAAGGCGCACAGCCGGGAATGTGAGGAAGCCTGGATCAAGCACGGGATCTTGACAGGTGTCAGGCACGAAGAGTTGATGCAGCGACTCATCCCCCTGGACGCTTCCTCCACACTCCAGGTGGTAGTGACTGAATGTCGGTCATACGAGGCCACCAAGTCCGCCACCTCTGCCTTACGGGCCCCACCTGCTGTGAGAGCTATCTCACAATACAAGAAGGATAAGAAGGCGGCCAACAACGCGAAGGCTGCCACACGTTCTTCCACGCCTCCGCCTAGTGCTTCCTGTGGCAGCTGTGGAAAGCAGCATGGCCCCAAGACTTGCCCGGCCGCCGACGCACTGTGTCGTGGATGTGACCGTAAGGGCCACTGGTCTAACACAGACAGGTGCCCTGCACGAGGCCGCAAGTGTCAGGCCTGTGGTCGCTATGGACACTACGACAAGTGCTGCCGCCAACCCAAGCCCAAAAGCCCGAGACGAGGAGGAAAGCAGCGCACTTCCCTCGGGGTGGTTCACACGCAGCCCCCTCCAGATGGCCCACGCAGCCCCAAGCAGCAGCGAGTCACATCAGGAGGGTGGAGTCGACCACACGCCCCAGGGCTACCCCTTCCCCCACCATCCGCGTCGCCGTCACACACGGTGATGTGTCGGGTCACATCGAGGTGATACCGGACACC